AGTAAAGTACAGATAACCAAAATTTCTACTTAAGTACAGTAACAAAGTATTTGTACTTAGTTACTTTACAACTCTGGTTTTTGGCTGTAAGATTAGAGGATCTTAAAAACTAATAAATTCACATCTTTAGCTCCTCACTCCCCTCTGCTCCCTGTCTGTTTACACATCTGCGCTCACTTAGAACTGGAGCTTTTGTATAAAATCTCAACAACTCTGAAGATTTACAGCTTTGTTCTTCAAATGGTGCTGTGCCGTTTTAGTTTCTGAGTGGCCATCTTAATCAGGCAGTCATCTTTGACTCAATAAATTGGCCAATGGCAGGTTTTTTCCCCCTGATGTAAGAACAAATTTTATAGTAAAATGTCAGCCACTTGCTGCGAACTGAAGAAATGCATCTCTGAAAGAAAAAAAAACGTATTTTTGCTTTTCTTTTAGGTTCGACTGAAAAAACGCAAAATTTAAAAGTTGCTCTGTGCGATTTCATAATTTCTTGCTCAGACACGAAATTTATTCAGCCCTGCTGTATCATAAAACATAATTGGAACACAGTAAAGATAAGATTGTTTTAATTTTCTTTGAATTACCTTTAATTGATGAAGTCAGTACAAAGCACAGCTGACATGTCAGATATATAGTGCCAGACAAACAAAAAACATTACATTAAAAAACTAGTTAATGATATAAACCCAGTTGGATAAGAGTGAATGATGACATCAAATCTCCATAATGTTTTTTCTMTTTGTGTTCAGACCACCTGCGCCAACCTGGATGTTTATCTCCGGGGCACGCTGGGCCAGTACCTCCTGAACGTCTCCACGGCCGCAGAGCTGTGCAGCCAGACTSTGTGCGGCTCCCACGGCCGCTGCCTGCGCAGAAACTCCGACAGTGAYGTCTACCTCCACCTCAGCCCCCTCACCCACAGCTTCCAGCGTCAGAACGGCAAGCTGACGGTGACCGGCGAGCTCGGAGAAGAGGGCCAGGCGGCGTTTCGCGCGGACTTCCAGTGCCAGTGCTACAGCGGGTTTCTGGGGGAGGCGTGCGACGAGAAAGACCCGCTACACCAGCGAGGGGTGGCCGCTCGGGCCCGGACGTCGGCTCTGCAGCGTCTTATCCTGCTGTTCGCCTCCGTGCTCCTCTGTTACACATAACTGCAACCAGTTGAAGCACGAGAAGAGACAGAATATAGACGTTACAGAAAGTGGAACWTGATCTTCGTTGGTAGGGTTTTTAAACAACGGAGAGCTCGCTGGAATTCATTCTGTTTACATTTTCCTCTCAGTCACTGTTTCCCAAAGTGTCAAATTTCCCTTTGTTATGTAGAGCTGAATCTTCTGTAGTAAGTGTGTTTGATAAATTGAAAAACTAACTTGGTTGTGTGGTGAAAGTGGAAACAATGCACTTAAACCAGCACAATATATTTAAAGTGCCTGGTTTTATATCTTTAACCTACAACATAGTTTTTTTCTGACGTCTGTCGATTTTTCTGCAGGCGGTTGCAGTATTTCTATTTATTTGAATGTATTAGGTGTTTTTGTGCGTTTTTATTTGTATGTTTGAATCATGACTACTACGTTTTAACTGAACCACCAGATGTCTACGCCAACGGCTTCATGTTTTAGATATTTCACCTCACAAGCACATTATAAAAAGCCACTTTAGGTGTTTATTCATATTCAAACACATGCTGTTTTTTTATACTTTTGCCTCAGTAAATAAACTTTTGTTTTTCTGAGCTTGTGTTTCATTTAGGAGTCTGTTGAAATTTAAATAACATAGTATTTTTTTTGTTCTCAGTCAGTAACAGTTCTGTTTCAGTGGAAAACATCAGTGAGTCACTTTAATTTGGAAGCCAAAGGCTGCTGTTCTGAAGGAAGCATACAGCAGCTTCTTACCCCTTCCTCATGTAATTACAGGGTGCACTTATTCAAGTTATTTTTGCTGCTATAATGAGTTGAGCAAAGCTTACGCATAAATTTGGACGTGGAGGAGTTCATTATGGCTTCTCTTGATCGGCACTTGGAGGAGAACTCTGTGACCCCCCCGAGTGTCCTCAATAAACTGTTTATTTTTAGTTGTGTTTGGATGTTTAGTCTGAAAACACAGAGTCAGGGTCTGCATCATTTGTATGCCAGCACGTATAGGGGAGTGCTGAGTGGGTGGGGTGATTCTATAAATTAAGTGAATTGATTTATAGAATCAATAAATTTGCTGATAATTATAAATTCCAGTCTGTGTATGCTGTTCACAGTGGACGTCTTTTCTTAATTATTTTAATTTGTTTATTGCATGGGGCAGCATGGCAGAGCAGTGGTTAAAGCTGTCCAGGGCTGGGCCAAGCCAAATCATTAGCCTGGTAAAAACCAGACCCTCGTCCTTCACTTTGCTTCGTATGAGGGTCTGGACTCGCTGCTATAGAGAAGCGATTCTTGCTGGAGGCGTGGCCTCTGCTGAAGTGTGTGCGTGTGTGTGTGTGTGTGTGTGTGTGTGTGTGTGTGTGTGT